TGGCGGATACGCCGACACTGGATGAGACGCAGAGAGCACTTGCTCAGCTGCGAAACGGCAAGTGTGCCGGAGCCGACGGGATCCCCGTAATGAAGTATTGAAACACGGCGGACCCGCGTTTTTGAGTGCGCTGCGCCACTTGGTGCAAAGTGTATGTATTGAGGAGGAGGTGCCTCCTGAGCTGAAGGATGCCCTTGCGCTACTACTGTACAAGGGCAAAGGTAGCAAGCAATGTTGCACGAATTATCGTGGCATCAACTTGCTGTTGTGTGGGCAGGTGATTGCCTGAATCCTGCTCAACCGCCTCGTCAGTCAGGTTGTGGAACCGAACGTGGCGGAGGAGCAGTGTGGATTCCGTTCGGGTCGCAGCACTATAGATATGGTGTTTGCGGTTCGTCAGTTGCAAGAGAAATGCAGAGAACGACACCAGCCATTGTACTCGCTTTTTGTTGATTTCACCAAGGCATTTGATACGGTGAACCGCGAGGCATTGTGGCTGGTGTTGGGTAAGTTTGGTTGCTCGCGTAAGTTTGTAAGTTTAATTGAATGTCTGCACAGTGGTATGCGAGCGAGGGTGCAGCTGAGTGGAGAGACCTCGGATGACTTCGCAGTTGTCTCTGGTGTGAAGCAAGGCTGTGTTTTAGCTCCTGCCCTGTTTAATATATACCTTCATGCAATGTTGTCATGTGCTTTTGTTGCGGCTTGTGCTTACGGTGTTCGTGTGGAGCACCGTATTGATGGTGGGTTGCTGAACATCCGTCGTTTCGGTGCGAGAACTCTAGTCTGTGAGACAGCTATCCGTATGTTACTGTTTGCTGACGACTCTGCATTGTTTGCACACAGCGCGGATGAGTTGCAGCACATGACAAGTGCTCTGGTTTCGACAGCGGCCAAATTCGGGCTCACCATAAACACAAGCAAAACTGTCTGTCTCCTTCAGCCTTCACCGGAGGTGCAATCTTCAATATTGCCGCGAATCAGCATTGGTGCTGAAGTAATGAAAACCACCTCCCGCTTCTGCTATCTTGGGAGTGTGATGTCGACTGATCAGCAGCTACACAGTGAGGCGCGTATTCGCGTATCGAAGGTAGCAACGGCATTCGGGAAGCTTGAGTACCGAGTTTGGAACAACCATCAGCGTACCATTGGCACGAAGCTGATGGTGTACAAATCCATGGTGCTGTCCGTTCTTCTGTACGGTAGTGAAAGGTAGACGATGTACCGTCGGGATGTGCGATATCTCGATCGGTTCCATCAACAGTGCTTGTGACGGATTTTACGGATCGGCTGGGGCGACAGAGTTGCAGACACGGAACTGTTGCCACAAAGGGGGATGTATGCAGTGGACTGCATACTTTTATTGAGACACCTGAGATGGCTGGGTCATGTGAGACGTATGGATTCGACGCGGATACCAAAACAACTCTTATACGGTCAGCTGAGTATTGGGAAGCGGTATGCTAGGAAACCAAAGTTACGTTACCAGGACATGATTAAATTGAGCCTCACATGTTCTACTCTTGATTGCAGATCATGGGATTCGAAAGCGGTTGATCGGCGCGTATGGCGCGATCTGATCACGAAGGCAGTTGCTGAAGTGCGGGAGAAAGACCTCATGCATACAGAGAAGAAGCGGCAAGCACGAATGAATTGTACTCCATCGAAATCGAGTGCATGGTGCTGTAGCACATGCGGTCGCGAGTGCCTGAGTCAGGCAGGCCTAGTGAGCCATGAGCGATGTCATTCGGGACCACTACCGAAGCGACGATAGGTCCTGCAGAGAACGTAGACTGAAGGGGCACAGCATTTGTAGGTACGCTGCATTCGATTTACTAACCGCGTGCTTGCATGCCAAATCTCTTTATTTCAGGTGGTCGGTTTTCAATTTTCCCCTATGCTTCCCTTTCTCATATACATGTCTACCTGTACTATTTTCCGTTAACTCACACACCTCGCTTAAGCCAATTGTAGTTAATTTCGATAACATTTACGTGTATGGGAAATTTCCGTAAAGAAACATTTCTGACCTCGTGAACCATTTTAGGATTCGCTTGTAAACATCTAACTTCATATGCTCGTTAATTTAAGGCTTATGTCAACGTTTTCTTATGTTTTCCTCGATTTATTCTACTTGTCATGTTTCTTTCAAGTGATTGGCTGCTGCTTGCTATCCCCGATGTGGCTGCGCTTGCTGTGCATGTTGACAAGGTGCCTACCTGCCCACTACCTCGTCCATACTGGCTCCAGGAGACTTTTGGTCGTTGCTGGAGGGGACGGGGTGCACGGTCCTAGTGGCCGTGCTAGGCTCGAAGAGTGGTTCCATGCAGTCAGTGTGGAGCGCACTACGGTCCAGTCACCGCCTTGTGTGCACTTGATGCCCAACTATTGCGCGCTTGTGTTTGCCTGTGAAGGAGTGTGGGCCGGCTCCGTTGATGAAACGGGGCTCCTATTCGCATGCCTCCCGGTCTTATTCCTTCGGGTTTACACTGGATATGAGGTGTGTGGATGCTGAGGCTGATATTGCATTCATGATGCTTCTTCACCGCAGTTGGGCTAAACCAACTTACACTTAAACTAGGTCTTTGTAAGCTGGATAAATTTCATTCCACTTCATTTGATTTGTTCTGCCTACCGGAATAATGTTCTATTAGATTTCCACGTTGCTTACGGTAATTGTGCTTATCTTCGTTAACTTGATTGCGTTTGTAGCATTTGTAGAGTCACTTCTGGACATTTTTTACTTATCGCGGATTTGTTGCTAACCAACACACTTCATAAGCTAATTTAAGGGAGAGTTATGTCTGCATAGCCGTATTCTTTAACAGATATATTCTAATTGTTACTGTCATTTCAAGTGACTGGCTGTTGTTTGACATCCCTGGTGCGGCTGCGCTTGATGTGCATGTTGACATGGGGTCTACCTGTCTATTACCCACTACCTCGTCCATGCTGTCTCTAGATAGTTGGTCGTTGCTGGAGGGGACGGGGTGCACGGTCCTTGTGGTCGTGCTAGGCTCGAAGAGTGGTTCCATGCAGTCAGTGTGGAGCGGAATACGGTCCAGCCACCGCCTTGTGTGCGCTTGATGCCCAACTATTGCGCGCTTGTGTTTGCCTGTGAAGGAGTGTGGGCGTGCTCCGTTGATGAAACGTGGCTCCCATCCGCATGCCTCCTGGTCTTATTCCTTCGGGTTTACACTGGATATGGGGTGTGTGGGTGGTGCAGCGCAAGCCACTCATGGTCCCTCTGTAGGCGCAGGCGTCCTGTGGCTGGCTACAGTGACAGGCAAATCCGAAACCGGATGCCGCCAACCATGTATTTCATTCATGTATTGCGGCACAACAGCGGAAGTGTTTTCCCACCTCTAGCTGACGTGTATAATGATGATGATGATGTCTGCCTGAGTCTAGGTGCGACGAAACTTCGCCAAAGCCAAATAAATCCCCTACTGTTCACTAGATAAATGGATTGTTGCAGAATACAATTATCAGTAAAATGCAGTCGTAAAATACTAAAAGAATGATCGTCTCAGTTTCGCTACACGCAATTAAAGTTACATGTTCATTCAGCTCAAAGCTTCAGAAAAAAATGTCTACTTTGCTAGAGCTTCAATTAGCCCTGAAGAACGGAAGGCCGTTACGTTATGACCTTGTTGTGTTACATCCATCGTTGTTATCCTTAGTATCCTGTCGACGTGAGCCAACGTGACTCTATCCAACGTGCTTCACTGCACCGAACTGAATTAAACAACTGAGTGAGTAAATCCACGGGCCATGACCGTTGAAGGTTCGGTGATTTTGAAAACCGACAGTTCTTTACACCTAGTCGGCACAACACCGAAACACCTCATTCTCTGACATTCTGTGTTTGGTAACTGGGGTGTCGGAGTCCCGCGAGTGCTTCCGCACACTAACGGTAGTGAGAAAATGAACGACCCGGGACAAAGATTCAAAGGTTCTTTTAGATTGGGAAACCATTTCGTTATATAGCCCACCACATAGACGTGCAAGCCAACCAGAGTACGGAAATCGTGTGGACAATTAAAGTCAATAAGAGCTGAACCAATCAAGTGCACACAAATCACGTAAAGTGAGAGTGATAGCGTCAGAGTAGGGCTGCGCTCTGAAGTCCACAGCAACGACTCCAAATAGCTCATAGGGATAACAAGATGATGCGTTAAAACAAACGTAAATGAACCATCATAGCAAAACGAGAGCCTGCAGTCATGAACGGCTACACAAGCATACGTGTGTTTTTATTGCTCCTCTAACAGTAACACCTGTCATGCATCTAGCTCCGAACCACGAAGCCTTGTCATTCAAATGTTGTACACTTCATATTCCGCCGCCCTTACCTTAGATGAGGTAAGGGAATATGTACATACTCTTTGTGGCCATTTCGGTCATGAACTTAGAAAAGAAGCGAGAAACGTGAGGGTCTTGAAGGGGTGGGCGTCCTCGCGGTATACTCAGCCCGCGCGCGACTGGTGGTGGTCGCGCGGCAGCGAAGCGCCGTTACGGCGTATAAGCTGAAACATTTCATTCATTTAAGATCACAGATGTAAGATCTCATAGAATTATTGTAGGCGCTTCATGCTCTTATCATCGGAATCCAACCATATACAGTGGATCGTCACGCACTCGACGAAACTGGTTGCCATTTTTTAATCAGAAGCCAGCGATCTCATAACAGACTCTTGGGCGTTGTTCGAAGTCCGATACACGATCACCTGGTTACTCATGTCCCCGACGTATATCACTATATCCCCATTCTTTCCCGTATGGATATGCTAGAATACGAACGAGGACTGTTGACGGAGTTCTGTGAGTAGAACTTACTTTTGCTATCAGCCGAGCAGCGACGTTGCTCCTTATCTCGGTTCTACTGTGTTCCTAACCCCTAAGTTTTCACTCTTAATAACTGCTCTACTTAACAAATCAGTGCATCACCTATCCGAGCGCCCTTGACCCCGTTCGCGCTTTCCATTTTTTCATTCCTTTCAGCCCATTGTTGTTTTCGCTCATCATCTTCCAACTTTGCCACCGATGGAAAAGTTAGCATATCTACCACAGAAGTTCGGTGTACCTCTTCTGCGCGGTATTAGGCCATCAACATACCTCACTCTCAAAGCAAATTACTGCGCTCCCCCGCCTCAGGAGCCATTTGCGCCTATCCCGGGGCGCTTCCCTAAATGGGCAGCTAACGGAGAAGAGGCATTTGGCTTCTTGAAAAATGGTAATTTGATAAAGTTAACTCCTTGCTTCTCTAGGCGCTAATGTGTTTGTCCATGGTGGGGCAGCTACGCCATCTATCATTTTAAAGGAGTTTTATGATTATGTCGTTGCCAAAGATTTGAGAGATATCAAGCTTTTCCACATTCATACGGAAGGCCCTTTCCCTTTCCACGATCCGGCTGCTGGGGGTCGGTTCCGTTCAAATTCCCTGTTTACTGGTGAGTGCTTTGATGTTATCTACTCTCTGGTATAGGTAGCAATTGCAGGGAAGCTATAAAAGATGGTCGCGCTGATTACACTCCCATCTTCCTGAGCGAGATACCTCTCCTTTTTCGTCGGAAATTCGTTCAGCTTGACTTGGCCCTACTGAATGTAACTCCGCCAGACAAGCACGGATATTGTTCCCTTGGCCCAAGTGTGGACGTGACACGTGCCGCTATTCAGAACGCCACCCACATCGTCGGTATGCCTACCATTCTTTTTTCGGTTATTCTTGTATTCTTCTAACAGCTCAGGTGAATGATCAGCTTCCTCTCACACGAGGTGATGCGAGTATTCATTTCAGCAATCTGACCGTGTTGCGTCCTGGCTCTCAACCTTGTCACCAAATGCAACCCAGAGAAGCGTCGGAAGCGGAGGATAAAATCGGCTCATACATCGCCGAGGAACTGGTGGAGGATGGATCTACTTTGCAAACTGGTAAATGGACTTTTCCTTTCCTTGACTCTTTTCATTTATACGCGTCATCTGCCACGTAGCCATACCCACCAGGTTCGTTTCAAAACAATCAGTGATGCGAAAGCAGCAGAAATATATTTCCCCTATAAAACTTGGCATTCTCCAGCTTCTCTGTGGCCGTCAACAATTTAGCGAATTTCCTCAGTCGATGATATTTCAGAGGGATGCTTTGCCATATTATACAGTTTACTAAGATCATTATGCAGCGTCTCTGTTGCAAGCTGACACTTGAGGCCAATTTTCCCTTTGGAAACATCACAAGTTCTCTTATGTATCCGCCGTTGGATCCATGCGTCATTTTGGCTAGAAACCCGAGGGCGATGAATGCCGATGACTCACAGCGGATTATCTCCATTCTAGAAGTGTCAAGTGCTGCACACGAAGAATCCTTTTCGATTACTGCCAGCTTCCTCCTTTAAGTCTAGCACTTTTTCACTCAATCATTAGTGCTGCGTACACTACCATAGACTTAATTCCACCTAATAGGTCTGGTGATTTCGTGTGATATCCAACTCCCTACAACTCTTGAGAACCATGTGGCACTTAACCCCTCACCTCCTGCGCCTTGTGCTGATGCACACCTGCTTCTGGTTGGTACAAGTTGTGTCACTTGTCTTAATGTACTGCCTTATTCAAGACGGGACCACTCAAGACTTGTTATCCGTGTCAACACTTCTGACTTGCTTTTCTCAGGAATCGGTGCTATTCCAGACGCTGTCCTCTCAAAGTTGACAAACCATAAGCACTTGGGTATCCACACAGAAATGTTCTCCGATGGGGTCGTACAGCTTGTGCAGCTTGGCGCCGTGACTAACGCTCGCAAGAAGATGCGTCCGGGGAAGTTAGTTTCCAGCTTCGTCATCGGTACAAACAAAGTATTCCAATTCCTCGATGATAATCCGATGATAGGTGAGATTTCCTTTTTTCACATTTCCCATACATACACTTCACACGTTAACCGTCTTTTAGCGATCATCAGACGGTAGTCACTGGTTAGCGCTAAATGTTGTCGCCTTATTGGAATTGTGACTATTGGGTCAATTACATCTCTCGTCCAGTTCTTTTACCACCCTTACAGTGCACATTTTTGCATTGGCTCTATTGAACCGACGCCTTGTTCCGTTCAACGAAACAATTTCTAACATGATACTGGTCGATGTACGTACTCCAGCTGCTTGCGTGTTTGGTTCACCGTTCGTCTGCATTTCAAATTTTTCTCTCATCAGCCGCATTGCCTTCCGATCTTTTTTTGCCTGTCAGCTAACGGTTATTGCTCTCGTACCTACCACTAAGCAGACTTTTCTCGTTTACATTCTGCGTGTCTTCCCTACAGCCATCAGTCGGGTGGTTGTTCGTATAGAAGCACAAAATCTTTGTGGATTATCGCAACCCAGTATTTATCACTGTTATAACTTACGCATACGTAGTGGGGACATTTACGCTTCTGTGGACAGCTTAAACTCGGTTTCCTTCTAGTGGCTTTGTAAACACGCCCGTTGAATAATTGTGGGCTAATATTTCCTTCTCCCTAATCCTGGCTTGTCCACGATGAGCATAAAAATGCCACCGAAGTTTGAGTTGAAGCTTGTCCACTTTTTGCTTGTTCTCATTGTTTATTATGCACCCTCTCACACAATTATGACAACTCGGTGCTACTTGATCCGCCTACTGTATCAATTCTGTGGGGAATTCTTGTTCCATCTAGCATTGTATGTGTAGTAATGGTTGCCATCCGCATTTTTGTCTAACTCCCCGCTAGAACCCTTTATTAGTGTCGCTTGAAGAAGTGTTTTCTGTTTGACAAATGCGAACGCCGAGTTAACCCTAGGATTTTTATAGACCTAAATCATTCACAAGAGCTGTTAGCGCGAACTTTTAATCGAAGTCCTTTCAGCTGTTTCAGCCCACCTGTTGGACTTACGTTGATGGGTATTGTTCCGTTCACTTTGGTTCAGTTCATGAACTACACTCAACGCACCATCTATCGGAATATATTTGGGATCGATTGGGAAGTCATCATTTCGAAAGGCCTGGTAGACAATTGGTTAACACACAACGTTTAGTTTTTGACTCAAAAGCTTCTTCAGACGAAGTGAATTTACTTAATATTGGCATTTTATAACAACCATGGCTAAGCTACTTACAGCTCATCGGCGAAAGGTCACCGCGATCAAACGTCATTAGGTTCGTGTGTACTCCGTGGTTTGTTCCAATCAAGGTCAAATGGGGAGCAAAAATGCTGGTCTGGTAATTCTCCGTATGGTTGGCAATCTTAGGTTGTCCGTTGGACAGCACTTGCTCACTGATAGAACTTGTCTTCAGCACTCAGGAATTTGGTGGAGGGAGCGTTGAGGGTCCATTCCGACTTCGAATCCATCCGCCGATGCTTATCAACGTGGCCGGAATAAGACTGGACGCCACGCATTAGACAGCCCTGTTGCATCTATTCAATGCACGGTTTTGCCGAGTCTCACTAAGCGCCCAACCACTGTTTTGGTCCTTCGCGAGAGACCCTCATCCACGCAGATGGTGCGTGCAAGTCTGCTCAAGTCTTCCGGTCAACTCCTTCATGTCTTGACCATGTACAGGTCACTTCGCGGATTTGTCTAAGCAATCACAACGACAGCATACTATGCACACCGAGGAAGGTGTTTAACGGACCCACGGAGAACATGATCTAGTGGTTCAAGTTTAGTGGTTTCTTTCCTCACCTCAAGTTGGGAACTTCAGTATCGCTCACTCGGTGATCCTATTGAATGTGAGTACTACTCCGCGACTAGTCTCTTAATGTCTTAAGCGCGAAGTGGTCATGTTTCTGACCCACGTAGTAACATCTGCCGCATCGCAATGTTGTACACTAACTACCATCTGCAGTAGGCGATTGGGTCTCTGATAGTCACATAGCATTTGCTTCTACGTGAAAGATTCTATTCATTGATGTGCTCACCAAAGCGGACACAATTGCCAAACTATGTGAGCCGATCGACCACTTCCAGTGTCTGTTCGTTAATAGCCAGCAAAAGTAGTGTGCGCGTACAGTTCTGCTTAGATGCGTGATGCCATTCTGGACGCAGTTCTCTACAAACTGGGAAGATCCATTATCGGTGACCAGCGTTTCAAGTATTCTGTTCGGACTGAAAAATCTTATACGTTTATTCTTGAACAGCTTGTCCTATGCTCCATGTAGAACACCTCAGGGCACTTGCTGAAAGAGTCAACAACGATTAGATGCCGTTGACCATTCACTGGACCAATGAAATCCGTATGTACCCGATCCCACGGCTTCCATGATAAACAGGTCAGGATGCTAGTTCGGACTTTCTGAGTGTCTTACTGACAGCGCGCATCTTGGGCTTGACTTTGCCAGTTGCTCGAGTTCCGAATCCATGTTTGGCCAGTAACGAAACATTGCGCAATGGTTTTCATTCTCTTACTATCTGGATGACCTCGATGAGATTGCTGAATGACTTTGACGTGGCTCCTTGGGCATGCTAATTCTTTCGGCTTGAAATAGACGCCTATTAACTATTGATAGCTCATCTTTCCTCCAGGGCTCTTCTTTTGTGCGGGTTCCTAGTCAGAGAGGAAGGTTTGGCTCTTGCGTACTGTGCTACACGCAGGAGATTAACTAATCGAATCCGGAATTGACACGTCTTGTGAGACTTGGTAGTCGCTCAACGATTTTCTACCCCGAAGTACATGATTACCCTTGAACCCGAGGAAAAAAATGAGCTGTAACCGAGTCGCTTATACAACTTAGCCGAACGCGACCCATAGTTTGCACTGCCTGGTCATCAGGATGTGGCACAATTGTCTTTTTATATTGGCGACGAAAGTGGTTGCCAGAGTGACGAAGTTTCCACCCGGAAGCGGGATCACAAATGGAATCAGGCAATAGCGGACGTGTCAACAGAGGTTATTACCATCCGAGAACGTTGTCACCGATACGGTATTGTGTAGACGTTCCACCATAACATTGTGGCGGAGTTGGAGGTCGGAAAAAGGCATCCGGTGTGACATTTTTGTGGAGCCATGAGGTATACACTACAAACATTGGCATAAGAATATTTTCTTTTACCCCAATTCATTTACTGCTTCGTGGCCCCAGTGACAACTTGTGGTCTCGGACTTGGGGCTAACTGCGAGACGCGCCATCCACTCACGGGTCAAGTTATCAGGTGTTACTTTGTCGATTATTTGCAAGCAGTTAGCACATGCACTCGAACCACGACTGTTTGGTGAGGTTAAATTGTGGCACATCCGAACTCAACCACCTGGAATGGTTGCAGAGGTGCAATGAGGTCGACGGCGAGAAAATAGTTCCCGCTGTTGATCAGTAGCCCAACACTTAAGAAACCCTGGACCGATTAGCACTGGCTGTCAATAGTTTTGGGCTATGCTTTGCTCCATCGAAATGCAAAGTACTCCAAGATTGGCAGGGACTCAACCCTGCGATAACGCTTGGTGGTGATCTGCTAGAAGTCGTTCAGGAATTCAAGTTCCTGAGCAGGTATATTAGCACCCGTTGGATTGAAGATGAGGTTACGAACCGTATAGCAAAAACTCGATGTGCCTTTGCCAATCTCCGCCACCTGTGGCGCAGACGCGACATTACTCTCGCCCTGAAGGGCAGAGTTTACAACGCAGCCGTCCGTTCAACTCTCCTATATGGCTGTGAAACCTGACCCATCAGGTCGACAGACATAAAGAGGCTCGTCATATTCGATCATCGCTGCCTTCGCAGCTTAGCTCATGTCTGGTGGGAGCACCGCGTGAGCAATGAGCGTGTTCGATGACGTGTATTTGGTGCAGGAAGAGCGAGTGAACCGCTCAGCACTATTACATCACGCACCAGGCTCCGATGGCTGGGCTACGTGTTGCGCATGCCAGCACACCGACTCCCGCGACGTGCATTGTTTGCGCGTTGTGGGTGCGGTTGGAAGAGGAGGATGGGAGGCCAAGTAATGACTTGGTCGAGAGAAATGAAAACCCTCACTTCGAAGTTGGCGTCGGTTGGTGCATCCCGACTGCCTGGCTGGGGTCCTAAGGACGGTGAACGCGTTTGGTTGGACACACTTGCTGATATGGCTTGGGGCCGACCCCAATGGCGTTTGTGTTGTGAGTTCCTTTGTCCATCCCCCTCCTGCTTAGCATCGCCCTCCAATCACGATCTCACTTGTTAGGCATAATATGACTCTCTTTTACGGCAGCCAGCTGTTAGCTCTCCAGAACGATGTTCATCCGTTACTGGAGACTCAGCGGGCGTGCCACTGTTTGTTTTCATTTTCTTGTCTTTTGTATTGCGGCACAATAGCTGAGGTGTTTTCCACCTCCAGCTGACGTGTAATGATGATGATGAGACGAGCGACTGCGTATCGTATGTTGCAGCTGCCTTACGGATCCAACTGTAGCACGCTGCATGTATGCAGCGATGGTTTCGGTTGGATAACTTTTATTTGTCGTACGGGACTATGCAGTGTCCACCCTTGTACTCCCAGATCTAAGGTCCTAATTAACGTATCCGATGCAAAGCTCCCCGTAGTGTACCTCCCCTTGCTCGCACCCAGCATGTGACCATTTAATGCTTGGCGGCTTGCGTTCTTCAATACGACCTGTCAGCTTATCTCTCTGTTCTCTTTCTTGCTGCGTGTTGTGAAATGATAATTTGTAACTTACGCTCATTCTTTTTGCTTTCAGATATGTGTGATGTTGCTTGGGTGAATTCACCTGCTGTGATCGCTCAGAATCCTCGCCCCGTAGCTATAAATTCGTGCATCGAAGTCGATATTACTGGTCAAGTTTCTTCTGATTCTATTGGCACAAGAATATATTCTGGTGAGTGGTACCGTACGAGTGGGAGCGTTATGCGTGTTCGTTATCCGCGGTCACATCAGCTATTCCGTCAGTCGTTGTCCATTTGTAATTGAAATCTATCCACCGCCAACATCTTTGACGCTCTTCGACTCAATCGCGACATCTGCAAAACCACTTTAGGCACAGATGGACCGACCGCCCGTCAACTCCTTCTTCTTTTTCACATATCGAGTCAATTCAACACTATATCTATCTATTTATTGGCAGATTACCACAACACATATGAGAGGGAACAGTAGATTGGAAGGGAAAACAACAATTAGAGAAGCAGTCTCACACCATGTATGCCATTGCGTGCAGTCCTTAGACATATCCAGAAGCGTTTGCAACCAGATCTGCTCGCGGTCATTAGGTCCCCTACTCGGAAGCCATTAGCGCCCAAAAACAGCTACCTTCGACGTTTGTGTTATAACGCAAGGGGATAACACGTTCGTGATGCACGCGACGTGTGACACCACATCGGAGAGGATGCTCTTGCTTCCACACCTGATCTCAATCAGTGGCGATCTTGGAATTGTTCCGTAACTTCTGAATTTCGTCTCTCTGGCCCTTGTAGTCAGTTTAGATGCATTTACTACAAAACGGTTGCTGGTACGTTACCGACCGTTCGCATCATCCGAACCCGCTTTTCTCTCCTCTAACCCTTCGCTTCTATCACCTGTTGTGCTGTGACCGATCGGAGTCGATGGCGCTTGAAATCTTATTGCTCTTGTGTCAAGAGCAAAATGTTAGCCACAATGCAACCAAATAAAAAAGCCTATTTGTAATGTAAACCTTTCGAAATAATGATGTTTCGTCATCCTTTTCTTCCTCCTCCCTCTATCTTTAGGTTTCGGAGGCCAGGTGGACTTCCTCCGTGGTGCTGCGCTCAGCACAGATGGCCAGGGCAAGGCGATCATTGCCGTGCCGTCCACAACCAAGCGGGGCGAATCGAAGATTGTGCCCACTTTGCAATCTGGCGGTGGCGTTGTGACGACTCGGGCGCATGTGCACTACGTGGTAACAGAGTTCGGGATCGCATTTTTGTTCGGGCGTAATTTGCGACAGAGGGCTCATGCACTCATTCAAATTGCGCACCCGGATCACCGGTGAGTCGCCGTTTGCGAATCGTTTAGTGCCTGGAGATCACAGATAGAGGTTCATAGAGGTACTTCTCCATGTAAAACAATCACTACTGTCCGGTCTAGCGAGATTTAACAGCAGTGCGCTCACCCATGTTCTATATCTGATTACCCGGCGACGATCAATCGCCAATGTACACCCTTTGCGCTCCCCATCAGGAGATCCTGAAGGATTAGCGCTGTGGAATCCGTTGTTCACCCTCCCCTACTACCTTGTGAATCAAGCTATTGAGCAGAAACCTCCAGGTACAGCCCCTTAAGCAAACCTCCAT